ATGTCAGCTTGAATGAATTCAAGGTCTGGGCGTGCCTGTAACAGCCAGAATAGAGAGGCAGGCCCAGATACTGCCTGGCATGTCATCAATCAAATACACACCTGCGGCAATCAACAGAAATGTCAGACAGTGGATTCAGGACTGGTGCTATGTGAGAGCTGCTAAGAATGTCATGGCTGTGTGATCCATTTAATGCCTCGCTGTTTGTGCTGTTCCCTCCTCAGCTAAGAGAGCAGAAGCTCGCTTTTCAGCCTTGAAGGAAGAGGGGAATAACTTTGTGAAGAAAGGGCAGTTTCAGAAGGCCCTGGAGAAGTACAGCGAATGCCTCGCGCTAAAACCCGGAGAGTGTGCTATTTACACCAACAGGTGAGTGTGCACTGCAGCCGACCGGAGCGAAAGACTCATGGGATTGGCTGTTGAAGTTCGCTTTCACGCCATGCGTCCTAATATCGCCATCCCACTGAGACGCAATGCAGTTTGCCGTCCGGGAGTTTCAGCTTCTCTGCACGTTTGTGGCAGCAGTAGAGTACGGTGTCAGCGGAAAGGAAGGGGCAGCTGGAGACGCTGGCTCAGTGAGTCACTGGGCCCTTTACGTGTGTGGTTCTGTGTGCGGGCCCTTTACGTGTGTGGTTCTGTGTGCGGGCCCTGCCCCGAGGCTAGAAACCACAGCAGCAGTCTGACGAACATGTGGCTTGTAAGGACGGGTCATATGACACGACATGCCTGTGCAACTACTCTCCCATTGTCTCTTCCGACTTTGTAACCATTGAATCCAAAACTAAATATTCCAGCTGTGTTGCAACACTGTGCCCAGCGGCAGAAAGTGCCTCAGAAAGAACCGGTGTCCAATATGGACGGTCCCTGCCCAGCGGGTCACTGAGCAGATTAAAAATGTGTGACATTTGAGGAGCTGCAGGCCATAAGCTCCTGTTGATTATTCGCTCTCTCAGAAGCTGTGCGAGGTGATGTTCAGTGTGAAAATCCCCTTGGAAACGTCAGTAACGTGACAGGTGGCTGTTATTGCCACATCCTGGGAGGCTCTCAGTCTGAAGTGCTAAAAATCTACTTCTACAAAAAATGAGTACATCAGTTTTATATGTGGAATTCTACTATAATTTATTTTCTTTATTTTTTAAATAGGTATTCAACTTACATTGTTGAGTACCAATAAAAAGATAAAGTAAAAATGGACAATATAAAAGTACAGACGCTCCTCTACTTACGAACTTTCAGACATACGAAGTCCAAATTATGTCCATTGGGTTCCCGTTTCCTGTCCACAACATCAATTTTTTTTTCTGCGGGCCAATTTCGCCTAGTACGACTTCTGGCCGCTACTCCCGCCGCGCAGCAGCGTAGCGTGCGTACTCCCAGCATCCTAGTTCTTAGTACTTGCGTATACCCTTAAAATTATAACGACTTACGAACATTTCAAATTACGAACGGCCGTTCGGAACGTATCTCATTCGTAAGTAGAGGAGCATTTGTAAATGTAAACAATAACTGTCTGTAGTAGAATATTTTGCACCACTGACCTTGAAGTAAATTGATCTGCAAGAGCTAAATAGATCTAAATACGCCAGAATGTATGTGATGTATATTTTTCAACATGAAGGGTATTTGACCGTAATTTTAAACGTGGTTCTAAAATGAAGCAGAAACAAGTCAGCCGGCAATTAGGACCTTCACAAGGACTAAGACGAGTTCAGCATGCAGGTTTGCGTCCTTATTCAAAGGTTTTAGTTATCTGTTAACTATCAAACGAGACAACAGTGTAAATGTAAGGCTTATATTAAGATGAAGAGTAAACCTAAGCATGACATGTCTTAATTTTATATATAATTGGTATCATCCTGTAGAAGCAAGTAGGATGCAGTGAGAGCCACACATTACTGCAGTAATGGACGAGGCGTCTGCGTTGTGATTCCAGGGCCTTGTGCTACCTGAAACTAGAGCGCTTTGCAGAGGCCAGGCAGGACTGCGACTCCGCCCTGCAGTTTGAGCCCTCCAATAAGAAAGCCTATTACAGACGGGCGATGGCCTACAAAGGCTTGGAGGTGAGTATAGCCAGTGGGCACCCCGCCTTACCCTGGTTTTCTCTAAACAGTGTTTCCCAACCCGGTCATCAAAGACCCCTCCCCACGTTTTTGCTCCCTCCCAGATCCCTGCCAGACAATCCACATTTTTTACTTCCTCCCGGCGCATCTCTGGGGGTCCCCAAAGATCCGGTTGGGAAACACTGCTCTTGAAAGCTGGCAGTGCTTACATGACCCCCATTGTTGTGTGCATGCCCAGAACTACCTGGCATGCAGTTCTGACCTGCAGGAGGTGCTGCGCCTGGACCCCAACGTGCAGGAAGCTGAGCAAGAGCTGCAGGAGGTGACGGTACTGCTGAGGCAGACACTGGTGGCCAGCTCTCCGGACAAGCCTAGGAAGAACATCACCATCAGAGAGGTGAACGAGAGACGTGCACGTCCATCAGCCGCAGTTTAACTCCCAGCTGTAATGAGGCAGCAGTGGTGTTATAAACATACCATTGTTTTGGATTGAAGCTATTTTCAAGGGCATTATGCCTAAAGTCTGTACAAAGTAAAAGTGAAATTTGTTTTGTACAGAAATTATTCTCTAGTAAGAGTGTTACTGTATACCAGAGGTAGGCAACCCTGATCCTGGAGAGCAGGTTTTCATGCTGCAGGGTCTCTGACGAACCACACATGATCTCAGGCAGATAGTAACTCATCAGGTATGACAGATAAGCTGCAGGATTGCAGGTATGCAACCTGCAGGATCAGGGTTGTCTACTCCTGCTATATGCCAGTTGTGCAGCACTACTTTACAGAAATATCAAATACGTTCAGCATTTTTATGATTATTTAAAGGCCAGTTTTGTATTATTCTGTATATCGAATTTTTGGTAAATTAAATAAATGTAATTTATCGGGAACCAAATGCGTGAAACAAGACCTCACGGGATGGCGGAGATTTTACTTTTAACAACAGGCGAGTGTAATGACTGGGTTCCCCTTCATGCAGACCAATGACAGTGACGATGAGGCCGATCCCTCAAACAGCAAGACAAGACAAGCATCAGCTGACGACAGCGCTGAGAGGGCCAGCCTTCCGCTCCGACCCACCAATGCTTACGAGTTCGGACAGGTCCTGAACGCAGCGCATTCCAGGGATGATGTGAACGCCTGTGCAGAGCTCCTGCGCCGTGTCAAACCTGAGACTCTACCACTCTTTCTGAGTAATAAGCTGGATGGAGAGACTTTTCATTTTATCACACGGGCACTCGACGGGCACCTGCTGCAGGAGGACCCCGGCCTGGTTTACCAGCACCTGTGCCACCTGCCTGCAGCAGACAGGTTCTCGGTACGCCACCACCTGCAGGCCTCACTCTAAAAGATGGATCCTAAAAGAGGATCCTTCAGCCAGAACCATGGTGTCTCCTTTACCTTCCTGCTGACCGCCATCCTCTCTCTTTCCAGGTGGTGCTGATGCTTCTGGGCCAAAACGAACGGCAGCAAATAACTCACCTGTTTGACCATCTGTCGGCTGTGGAGAGCGAGGAGTTCACGGGGAACGACGTACGGGATCTCGCAGCTAAATACATCTAACGTCTTCCTGCTACCTCTCGCATGCATCTGAGAGGAACATCTATGCAAACAATACAGATATACAGTGTAAAAAAAAACCTGCATTATGTATTGAAAGGAATGAAATTAATTTAAATCTCTACGGTGAAAGAAAAGCTTTTTACAAGGATGGATTCTCCATTAAATTAAGGGTGATATACCCAGTTTCTACACTCATTTACTTTAGAGACATTAAGACTTTGTTAACAGGTTCGGGTTAAGAGTTTACCTTTCAGAAAGTCTAAAGTCTTTTGTTTTTACTAGAAGATGAGACTTTAGATAACACCGGTTAAAGAACGGTTGTCCTGAACAAAAAAGCAATATATGGTAATATGGTATATAAGGCACTCAGTTTGGGACCAGTAGAGAACTGGGCAGAACTAGTGGGATCAGGAATGAGCAGTATGATGGGACAGCTTTTGGGACCAGTGGCACAGAGTATTACAGTGGGATCTAACACTGCATTTGGGACCATTTGTTTGAATGTAGTGGTATACAAGGGCTGTCACTGGAAGCAAGTCAGAAAACACAGTTGTCCACAGTGGGAGACAACGGTCCGCAATGCGCTTCAGTTCCTGAAGCAGGACTGCGACACTCCACCATGGCTTCAATGCACGCTTGCTTTTCCTTCTCCGGCACAAGATGCATCTTTAAAAATAAAGGGAGCCATGGCAACAGCAGCTAACCTGTTATAATACAGCTAAAATTCATAGGCTTATGCGGCAAAGGTCACAAAAGGATTTGCAGGTGACTTTTACTCTGATTGGGGAAAGAGTATGTTTCTGAAATGTGCAAGATACTCATTTAAATTGGAATGGGGGAGGGTGAAGAGTGTCATAGCAGTATTATTACTGATAGTGTAATGCTATCAGTATATATGCATCCCTGGGGAAAAGCAGCATCTCTGCTAGGCGTGTGACTTTCAACTGGAAGTAATCTTATTCGACTCAGGTTTTGTTCCTGGCGTTAAAGGATTTTAAATGTATGTACAGATTTTAGGATGTCCAAGAACAGTTATTGTACAACTGTCAACCATTGTATGAAATCCCACTCCACCCTCAGAATGAATGTATTTTGCTAAATTCAGGGTAAAGATCTCCTGTAGTTAGAGCAATAAAGCAGCATGTCATGTAATAGCATTACGATCTGTACAATATGTAAAAATGATGAAGTTGCAAAACTTACGAGTGTCCCCCACCATATTAATAAACTGGGCTGACCATTTCAGTGCTCTGGGAAAATGGTAACCAACTGACTAAATCTTACAACTTGGAACAAGCAGTGGTACCCCAAACTGGAATGTTAATGTCATACCCGTTGACTGTTCATTTGCCATTTTACGCTAATATTACAAACAAACTCACCTTTTTGAAACATGAATGTTGATTTATTCAACAAAGTGATACACAAAAGCTCTTTAATTATAGATATGCATTTACACGCATATTATAAAGCAATTAGCAAACAAATATACAAATACCATAAGCGGTTCTGCACAAGTCATACCTGGCACTAGTGTTCAAAGTAAAAGAAATGGGAGAGGAGGAAAGGCAAAAAGCAGCTTGCAGCTTGTGGCATTTTCATCACTCCAGTCATTCAGCAGCACCAGAATGGCAACATGGACAGGAATCAGGGGGGAGCAGGGACTAGGGAGGGAATCCCGACCCTCAGATGCTTAGAGAACTGTGGTACATCAGAATTAAACATCACAACAAGTGTTAAGAGTGCAGGTGCTCAGGCCTTCCTTAGTTGCTTTGCGCAGTATCTTTAAGCAGGTACAAAAACGGCGACCTGTGAACTTGAGTCTTCAACAGACGTGTTCCTCATGGTGAGGGTGAGTGCACACATGCACCCTGCAGAGGAACTCCTCTCTGAACAGACGTCAAGGGTTAACAGGAACACAGAGCATAAGCCTGAGTGTGGTCTTTGGTAGGCAATTTGTAGTCGTTATTTCACCATGTCTACCACAGTATGTGAATAGCTCTCTCTCTCCCAACAACGTCAGGAAGACATTCACATCAATCTTATGCCGAAAACAGAACAGCGAATGTAAGAGGTTTCAAAGGCACTATGAGTCAGCAAATATATAAAACTGAAAGAGGTGAATTCAACAGCTTGAATAAATTGCCTTTGAACCGAAAATCTCCAGCTAACAAAATGAGGGCTCGAGGACCCTTTTGATTTGTTCCAACCCAGAACAGTGGTCATCAGTCCTGTTTCTCCAGCTGTCTTCTGCTCTCAAACCCTATCGTCCTACATCCATTCATGCGAGCCCACCAAGAAGGGACACTGCCCCACCGCTACCTGGTCAGCCAGCTCCGCTTCCCAGTGTCCTCTGGCGCTCTGTCCAATTCAATGAATACCATATATCCTACTCCACAGAAGGTTCCTTTTATCCATCATCTCCACAACAAAGTTAATAAATAAAAATCATTTTTACAAATGTAATATAATTACCACAATCATTCGCATAAAATAGCACTGTCTGGTCCCCATTACTTTTTTGCTGAATTGAGAATGTGCACCATGATAACCAGAACAAAATGGTGCCTTCACCTTCTCCACCTCACACCTTCTATGCTCACTTACCACGCTTCCCATCTGCAGCCAAAACGCCAGTTACCAGCATTCTCTTCTACCAATTTCAACATCGCCTCCTCAAGTGTCTTCCCACGTTTAAATGGATGCCCCATCAACTCATTTAAACCGAATAATTAACAGATTGCAAAAATTTAAGCTGGTTTGGAAAATAACTCCTTTGACCAAGGAAATGCCCCTCAAACAGGTGAAGCAAGGGTGATTAGTGGCAAGTAAGTGGCACGACCTCCATAGACAGCACTTAAGGTTTAGATTTCAGTTTGAATGCAGGCGTTTTTCACAGCGCTGGCCAGCTGAGGCCGGTTGTTGTTCTCCTCTTTCGGAGGTTCTCCTGTGCCGGGGTCCTGCTCTGTGGAGCACATTAGGTTGACACTCTCCTCAGTGACGAAGCACAACGGAGGAACCTCGGGGCTCGGCGGGAGGGCCTGAGGGTGCGCCTGGGAGGGGCCGTTTTCTAGGCGGTCGTGCTCCACCTCGGGCAACGGGCTGACGGCAGCCAAGCGAGGGTGGCAGTCACTGGAGCCACGGCCTGGGCCCTTGGCGCTTTCGGGGTCGGAGCAGCTGAGTTCGGAGGAGACGCGGCTGCAGTGCGACTCTGCCACTGACGGTAGGCTGCCGCTCAGGGAAGGAGGGTCAAACTCGCTGGAGTCGGTGCGGCGTCGCCCCAGTAACTGGGCCTCCATGTCCTCACGCATCTCCCCGCTGTGGGAGCCGCCTTTCCGCCGTAGCTTGGTCTTGCTCTGCTTGCCGGAAGGGCAGGACGAGGAGGGCACCTTGGAAGGACAGGTAGAGTGCTGGGCATCCTCCACACTGCTGCCACCGCTGTGGTGTCTCTGCTTGCTGGGCTTAGACTCTATGTCGACTTGAACCTCCATGCTGGTTCCATCCCTAAATCACACAAGCGGAGAGAAACACCACATTAACGTCGCGGCATGTGGCTGCAGGAGTGGCCTCTACGCAGACTGGAATTGGGTCCGAGTTGGTACCTGTCCAGGGGCATGTAGGAGTTGAGGATGGACCCAGCCATTGCTTTGGTGCTGGCGCTGTCACTGACCGTGCCCAGACTGACGGTACCCGATTCCCCGCTCAGGCTGTGCCTCTCCTTCTGAACATCAGCCTGTACCTCCAGTCTGGGGGCAGGGAGCGGAGAGCAGGCGTAACCAACATGGCCTCCTTAACAGCAGTCAGACTTGCAAGACCATGTTTTGTCCTCCCAAAATACACACCAGCCTCTGTTAACCACCATTAACTGCTTCATTGAAATTAGGTCAAGTTGTGTCAGCTCCTACAGGGTAGGACGCCGTAGACCGACTTCTGTGACTCCAACACAAACGTTCAGACAGACAGAAGGTGCCGTCGGCTGCCCCGACCTGTTGAAGCAGCTGACCATGGCGCTGCCCGACAGGCTGCCCGTGATGCTGGCCCCAGCGAGCGCCATGGTGCTGGCAGTCTCGCTCAGGTTGTCCCTCATGGCACCGATGCGATCCATGTGGCTCCCGCTGGCACTCAGGCTGCCCGTCAGGCCGCCCACACTGCCCTCGCTGATGCTGGGGTTATTCCGCGTCTCTGCCACCGAGGTTGTGTCTGAGGGGTGCAGGGGGGGGCGGGGGCCTTTAATGTCAAATCACTGAAGTGTGCAAACTACCATTTTATTTACATTTAGGAATTTTAAAAGTGCTCCCAGAAATATTGAATGTTATAAGCTTAGATCTCAGGGGGATGCATGAGTTGTCACTGCACTCCACACCCCCCCACACACACACACCCCCCTCCCAGACCATTTCCTCACCTGTGACTGCTCCGCCGCTGCCCGCAGCCATGTCGTTTTCATCATCAAACTCAATGCGCACGCCTTTGCCGTTGCCAGCCGACACGCCGCAGCCGCCGCTACGGCACAGGGAGATTGGCACCACGCCATACACATAGGCCAACATGATGGGAACCCCGATGCCTACAGGAGACAGATACACAGGTCAGAAAGACAGGAATGGAAACACGTTGACCAGGACCAGAGAGAATGCCAACAGAGCAGCAATGACATAAATCAGCCACAAGGGGGCACCAAAAAGATATAACGAATAATTTAAACTGCTTTTAATCTAAACCTGCCATTGTACGTTAAGGGAATAAATATGCGATTATTTAACCAATGCACTAAACCTCGTTTGACTGAACGGTAAAACAGAGATAGTCAGTTCAGTAACTGCTGGCAAGTATGAGGAATTGCCCTGGAATAAACTGATAAATGTTCCTCTCTTCCCCACAGTAAAACACAACTGTCCCCCACTACAGCCAGGGATTTTGTTCAAGCTGGAAGGAGTTTAACGCCGCTATCCCATCAGGCTAATTCTTGTTGTGCAGCTCTTGCTCCAAAACTGCTTAAACCAGGGTATTCACTGGAAGCTCAGCCTAGCTGCATTTACGCCAAGTCAACACTGACAGCAAATTAGAAATGTGCCATTTGCCTCACTTGTACACTGCTTTGGACAAAACCATCCACTAAATAAAAATAACTGGAATTCTCCATAGACAGGCATCTCCGCTCCAGCCAGGGGGAAAAAGGACACCGCTTACCGACTGTCACAGCAGCCACCACGGGAGAGACTATGACGGACAGGGTCACGCCACCGGCAATCACCAGATTCCTCTTGTGCTTAGAAATGTCTTTCCCTTCATAGCGACTATGAATCTGAGGCGAGGGAGAGAGAAAGAGAGAGAGAGAGAGAGAGACCAGCATATGGCAATGAATAGAGCTGGCAGACAAATCCGTGTCAAAACAGTCACCAAAATAGCCAGGAAACAGAGTGGTGTTTGGGTGGACTGAAATAACTTGGTCAAAGGAATAACCATCAACAGACCCAGTGTCCAGTTACACCTGGTTTATGAGTGGGATAAGAGGGAAAAACGCATTAAATCCATTTGAAATGTTAAATTCCAGCAGGACAATTTTAGATTCTGATGAGTGCGGATGAGAATTCAACTCTTAAATGCGGAATATTAAGTTTTAAGAGTCTCAAAACTGGTCCTCAAGGGAATCTGTCAATTACCAGAGAACAAGCAGATTTGCCAAATAAGGGACTGGGTCCGGCCTATGAAAACTGGCTGCTCGGCATAACAGGCCGTTTACAACAGCAATCAATCTTCAGTTATACAAGTCCCGGAACATGTCGATGCAGCCGAGGACGGGGCCATTCGTACAGAAGATGGCTACCTTTGTTAGAAAAGCCATTCCTCCTCTTACGAGCGTCACGTGACCCACCTTCCTCCCTACATACACAGGAATGCCGATGATCATTGCGGGGATGGCGATGCCGGCGATCAGCGCGATGCCCACCGGAGCCCCCACCAGCGTGCCCAACTGCCACAGGATCTTCTTTTTGCGACTCCAGGGCTTCTTGCCCCAGAAGGTGCAGCCAGATGGGCTGAGGGTGGCAAGAAATAATTCACAAAACATCCAGTAGAGCCACTTGCATTCCTACATGTCTGACGTTGAAGGAAATTACAGCATTGGTTTGAACAACAGTGCTGTGGAATTTCCCAAGACTTTAGAAACCAAGTTCAAGTTCTTTCATGAATAACAAAGACAATAAAAAAAAACAAAAAAAAGATTAGAATTAAATAAATTTTTAAAAAATCAAATAAGCTGGTTGCAAAACAGTCTGAGTTGCATCTAAGAGCTACAGGCCTTGATGAAACTGCAATCTAACCAGGGGAATAGGAAAAAGGCCCCAAGGACCTCCGACTGCAGCCACACCTCAGGTAGTGCAGATCCGAGATTTCCTTCATGCAGAGCCAGCAGAACTCACAGCCACACACGGCACAGGTCATGTGGTTACAGCTGCCATCGTTCATTTTGATGATATAAGCTGCACAGCGTGGGCAGGGCTTGATGTCGTCAGCTGTCAGATGAGAGACACACTTAGGAGACCCATTTGGATTCACAACTGCTAACAAGTTTTTACAGAGGTTTTAGGAGTAGCTACCTGCCGCCCCGCTCTCCTGACTATAGCTGAGTGAGGAGGAACGCACGGTCCTCAGCCTCAGGCTCTGGGCCCTCTGCTGTCGGGCAGCATCGCAGGTTTGGTTGGGGTGCCACAGCTGTTTGCAGTGGTAGCAGAACTCTGTGCCACAGCCCTCCCGGCCGCACGTGATCTTTGGGCAGCTGGCACAACCGAAGGCAATGACCGCATACCTGTGAAGGACAGCAGACACATTTAAAGGTCACAGAGCGACACGGAACAGGGGCCACTCCCCTAAGCAGAGCCTCAAAAAGGCAGCGGGGGGAGGGGAAGAGTGCAAGGCCCCCCTCCATTCCTGTGAGGGCTCAGCCAAGCCACACTCAGCCAGCAACCAGTATCACCGCACACATCCCACACACAAGATCACACGATCTGTTCACGCAGACTGGGGTGCTTTCAGAGACCACAGGAAAATGATCAAAGATTTCTCAGATACAAATACCAACTCCAAGACAAGAAAAAGGACTTATTCATTGCATTAAAGCCCCAATATGTGGAGGCCAATGTGCAGCTTCAAAAAACAATAAATATCTGGACAGGACAGCTGAAAAAAATGAACCCTTAGAAATGCAAGATGTGATCGATTCCTTTTAGTCAAGGGGCTGAGTTTCCCAATGCACCTGTGCAAAACACTGCACTGAAATGCATTTAAAAAGTAGTTTAAAGGATACGGGGACAGGAACCTGCCAGAGCATACAGCCTGCCTGGCACTGAGCCGAGACACCATGCAGCGTCTTTACCAGCTGCAACATACTACAGCACCCAAGCAGAACAGTTACGGCAGACAAATCCATTTTACACATCAGCAAACTGTAAGCACACTGCAGGAACAGCAGAGCAAAGTGCTGCACGACAAGTGCCACGCTGTTGTGTGCTTTCAGTTACATACTAAAGTGCATGTGCAGTGCAAACAAGGGCCCCATCTGCTGAAAAAAACCGACAAGCAGCCGAGAATTAAACCAGGGACTTACCACTGCCTGTGCAGTGTGTGTAAAAAAATTATAATAATAATGAGTATATGGGAAGAAATGATACTGTATCCAACTGTTACTGTGTGAAAGCGATTCCTCCATCGAAACAATCGAAAGTCTTTCCACAAAAGCTGAACTGTTGGGAGAAAAATCAGGCTGGATCGGGGCGAGAGGACAGGCGAAGGTGCTGCCGGGACCAGACCGTCTCCAGGAGGAAATGCTCCACAGATGTGCACGTCCACACCATCTCAGCGACAAAGTTTCCACTAACAGGTATGTTGGCCTAGGGCCAGGGACAGCAGCCGGCAAAAGCGGCTCATAAAGGGAGGAGGGGGGGGGGG